TATTTTCATTTAAAAATTATTAAAGTTTATTATATTTATTTATTTATAAGGAAAAAACCGAGTTACCGGTTCGATTCCGGATTTAAATGACACGATTCCGGGTTTTAATATAGACTCGAATCGATTTTCCGATTCGAGTCCGGGTTTTCATAAAAACCCGGACCGAACCGGACCGTGCGGGACACTACTATTTAGCCAGCCGATTAGCCGATATTTTAGTCGACTGGCTTAGCCAGCCGACTAAAACCTTACGGCTTAAATCACTAATCTACGGTTTGTATTGTTACTGGGAAAAATGGAATACAAAAACTCAACTAACCAACCAAACAACCACCAAGGCAACAAGAAAGCCTATCGAAAGAGACGCTTAGATTTGGCGAGTGGAATGGTTCTAAGGCTTCGGTAATCCTTAGACAACACGAATCACGTGACGAAATTCGGTTTAACAATGCTTTAACCACTGGAACAAACCCGCAAGGAAAATCAAGTATCCCAATATGTCAGGGCACAACACTCGGGGTAATGCAGTAATCACACGATAAGTTAACAATGACGATTCTACTATAGAACTTAGTAGATTGTCGGAAAAGGGATCATTAAAGATATAAGGGACAATGGCTTTTGAAATTCCACGATTGGAATCTGCTATTGCAGTGGGCGAAAAGGCCCTTTATTTATAGAGAATTCTATCTATGTAATCGAATGCTTATAAGTCTTAAAAGACTTATAACACTTATAATGCTTATAACACTAGCTTTAAGTCGTTTAAGACTTTTAAGACTCATCGCTCTTATATCCTACCCAAATAAATCAAGGATCGTCGCCACCCAAAATAGATATTGCGGTACATACGTAATGTCAGCCGACCGACTCAAAATTAAAATTTCCAAGGTCCAAATTTCTCGGGTTACAGTATCACCGGCACCAGAGACCCGTAAAATTTTAGGTTCAAAATTTTTTTAAATTTAATAAATTTTAGATAAATTTTATTAAGTTCATTCTTTTGCTTCGTTGAAATATAACATTGTAAGCATTTTTAATAATTTAGTGTTTAAATTTTGCCGATTGTTTTGAAGAATGTTATTATAAGAACACAAGTTTGTAATTTAAAATGATTAGGAATCAAATCGCGCTAAGTAACCTAAATTTGTACATCAATATCCAATACAAACTAATCATGTACTTTATGTCTTAGAAGTTAAATAAGTTAAGTTTATATAAAATTTTTATTAAAAATAAAATACGCATCATTAAGGATAGGCAAATCGAATATTTTTTGAATCTACTGCGCAGGCCCCCATTATCATATTATAACGGATTACTAATATATATACAGTGGATTATTTATAGATTGACTCAAATTCTTTAATAATTTATCTGACTAAATGGTTGAAACTTTATTTAAAAGCCTCAAAACATCGAATTTTATTATAGCTTCAGTCAAAGCGAAATTCACATTCAAACATATTTAGGATATAAAAATTTATGTTATTTCAAAATATTCACTATGCAAAAATTCGTAATCTTGAGCTTTGACTACACAATGTATAAATACAAATAAAAACCAATCTTCACGTTTATTGGTTGTGCTGTTTTACACTCAAGACCACATGTTCATTTAATAGCCAATTACCAAATGGTATCTATTAAATAAGTAAACTTAATCCGCTATAAGCATGGTTATTATAAATGTCTAATATCAAAGGAAATTTATTATTTAACATTTGAACTCATCCGTTATAATAAGGGATCCCGTTTAACGGGTCCGTTATAGCGAGGATAGAGTGTATAAGAATCGGTTGATTCTGATACTATATGGTTCAACACAATACCTTTCTCGTGCTTTAACAGTATCTCACATATCATTTTGAATATACATGCATTATTTCAAGAACGTGCGCATGTGCGCTATTCTGAGATAAAGACCTATTCTTTAACATAAGGTGACATCTATGCTATTTGTTAATTGACATCAAAGAGTTCAATATGTTATTTCACTCTTGGATATTTATTTTTAGGAAGAACGATTTCCTAAATAACATCAATTAGCGAAAATGATCAATATCAATCGAATTTTAAATTTTTTTATACCATCCAATTTGAACCAAGAATTATTCGATTTTGAGTGATAAACCACATGATATCAATTACATCGTCCTCATCCGCCTTACCTGTTACGTACGTACGGTTATTACCAAAATCACGTGATCATTGAAATTTTGCTAATAACTTATATACCTAAATGTCAATTGGTCCCAAATATACTTGACCTAAGTATCAATCTAAAAATTAATTTAGGCCAGACATTTAGTCAAAATTTAGCAAATTAACATCTAAAATTAGGCCCAACATATATAATGAATGACGTAGAAAATAAACTCAATCGAACAGAAACTAATGTTGAACAGTATACTTTCTATTTTATGTCAAAGTATTTTCAATTATTTCGTACACAAATATTCTAAATATTCAATCCACACGAACATAGATCTATCAGAACCACAATAGTACCAAATATACATGCGTAAATTTGCTAACTTTATTTATTATTGAATGAACGATTTATATGACGTACAGTATAATAATAAGTTTTTTTAAAGTTTACGCGTTTGTTTCAAATAATTTGTATTTATTTTCTCTCGAAATGAAAGCGCGTCTCTCTTGTCTTATTTTATTAAAAAAATTTTTTTTTAAAATTAATTAATTAAATAATTGAATTGGTAATGAATAAACTTAATACAACGAATGTATCATCTTGAAAAGGAAGCGAAAACGAGGCGGAACTATCTATAATTTTTCAAAGATTAATGAATGAATTTTTTTTAAAGTTATTTTTTTTCTTAGTTTTTTTCTTTCGAAGCGGAACTACTTATAATTTTTCATAGATTAATTGAAGATAAATGAATGAGGGAATTTTTTTAGTTTTTTTTTCTTTTCTTATTTTTTTTTCATTTTCTCATATTTTTTTCTATCTCTAGATATAAATAATTTATGGATGTGAAATAATCGTGGAGTAGGGAGGAGGAAATAAAAAAAGAAAAAAAAAATAGAATCGACATAGATCATGTTTAATAATTTAATTGGTTTTTTAAATTAACGTAACTTTGTCTTTCATCTGCATCGGCTTCTGCCCATAGCCTAAAGGTGGTGAATCTTATTACATTATAATTGTTAATGCCAAGTCGGCGTGCTTCTTGCATTACACTTATACGGCATAAAGTTTGACAGTTCACTTGTCGGCGTCTTCGATATTGAAGCCCACCCGGCAAATGTGTTGAACGCCAATGAGAGTGGATTATATCATATTGTGCGGGGAATATATTCGCCCTATTTAAGGCATTAATAAAATTTTGGACTTGCATTCCGAATTGAACGTTAGCCATCATTTCTCTACATTAGAAAGAGCGACCTTTTTCTTCTTACGTAGCATTAGGATTGATGCTGTAATTTATAGTTAATCAGTTTCGACATTTTGTCTAAACATGTCATGCTTCCATGCAGCAACAATGAACTTGTAATGACTCAAAATGCATAAATCGTACTTGAGTAGATTGCATTGAATTGACGATCGGTAGCTTTGATTCAATACCTAAATTAGGTCGTCACCTAATGCGTATTGTCGCAGAAGGCGTACATGCGTGAGTAGTAGTAAATAAAAAAACAACTGTTAATTTGGGAATTGTTACGCGTCTCTTAAAGTAGATTACATGATTATGTAAGAATTTTTTATTGAAATTTCCTAGCTAGTTCGTATATAAGACAAATTTATTTAGCAATTTTGGATTTTTGTTTGTGGCTTATAGTAAACTTTAGCACTATTTTAACTCAAATTTGGATAGCCATTCAAATATTCTCGCACATACGCAAGCAATTTGAATATAGGATTAGTTAAATAATAACCAATTTTCGCCTTTTCATAGTTCTGATTAGATTCCAAGATTAACAAGAATTAATGTAACGGTAATGAAACACGGTAGTAAATATGACCTGCAGAATCTTGCATTATGATGTTTTGCTTTAATGTTCGATTCATCAAAAAACCATTGTTAATTGAATATTCGTGTGCGACATTCCGTTTGTTTGTTTTTTTTTCTTTGATGAATTACCGAGAAAATTTGTGTTTCTAGAATTTCATACAAATTTGGTATTGTGCAATGTGTACTATTAACTTTAATAATATACGAGTTGGTTACAAAATTGTGTATATTACGTGTACTTATATCAAAGGAGTAAATTCTAAAATATCGTGATAATTGCCAAAATCAGATTGCCAATCTTTCAGCCATGTAGACAATTTTTTTTCAAAATTATAGTAATTGAATAGCTAATTTAGTATCATGATTGTTAAAGCGAATTTATTATGACATTCCCAATGCAAGATAGTACATAGGCTTCATAAAGAACATTCTTTTATTCAGTTCAAATGGCTCTGTAGTAACTAAAAACTCTCAATGATATTATATAGCAATGCATGTTTTGTGTAAGGGAATGAGATCAATTCATTGTTTGAAATTTCAGACTCGAGTATTGTTCTCATGAGAACAGCACAATAAATATAGAAGTTCTTAGATTATTATTTATGTATTATTATTTATGTTCATTAAAAAAAAAAAAGCCAACCAACCACAGCACATATTACAGTGATAGTAAAAAAAATTTTTTTGATTATTTAATGTTTAATTTGCAATAAGTTTTGCCTCGATTGATGAAATTAATAATCATTAATGTTAGGTAAATATATATTTCTAAATTTACTTTAGATTAATACTGTTTCTCATTACGTAAAATCATTTGACGCTAATTAGATCATTACGATTAGTTACATGACAAATTTGCATGCCAAAATCACGCAGCTACTATTTAAGGTTTATGGGAACACTGGATCCATCATGTTCATAGTGATAAGTTCCAAGTTTCGGAAATAAATCACACCAGTGTTCAGTATCACATATATTTTTAATAGGTCAACTAATAAGGATCTAAAATTGAGATAGAGTGAGATTTTTGGGGTGCTAAACATTTTTACTTAGAACACAGATATTAATTGTTAGCTAGTTTTTGTGAAAAATTCTTTCTGTAAATTGCTTCTGTTATATTCTTATGAGAAGTATTTGAATATCAATCTATCCGTATCAATCCATTGTTAATTTTAAATTTTAAATTCAGATATAATTGATTTTTTTGGGCGATACTTAAGAGATTTCTTGTTCGGATATATCCAAAGAATCAACCTCTAATTTTGAGATATCTTAGGATTTTATCTTATGAAAATCATATAAATCCATAAATTAGAATACTTCCCGTAGAAAATGCAACTCAAATCATGATTTGGTCTGTAAGTACAATAAAACTTAAACAATCAATGCCTTGCGAAAACAAAATGTGCCACAGTTGTTAATTAATATTAATAAAAAATTTAATTGACTTATATATTGTTGCTTAAAATGTGTAGGCATAGTCTACGGTTCAATATAGTTTGTTAATACAATCTCTAGTCAATTCGTATCTTTGCTTTAAAACAACGTTAAACTGTGTAGCAGTTCGAGAAAAGTATGATGAATTACTCGCGTTACAAATATTGTACACAAATATAAATAACTATAAATAGCTAGTACTACAGCTTGTTTACATGGCGTGAATGCCTTTCTAAAGAATATACTAAATTTAAAAGGTTGTATTATTGGAATGTGCTGAAGGCCATATTTGGTTATACGTACGTACATAATTTTATATTATTCGAAATCACAATATCTGATGACTATATTGTAAAATAATTGTGAAAATGTATCTCAAGAAAATAATGTCAAAATATTTTGGGTTTCTATCAGAAAACCGCATTTTTAAAACCATCGAAAATCCGAATGGATTAGAACTTGATATTCCTTATTATAATTATGGTTTTGCAATTGAAGTTCAGGGTCTTCAGCATGAAAATATCGCAATTTCTTTTATAAAAGCCAACCTAGTATCACCCATAAAAAAATGCAGCTGATGCCATGATCCGATAATTCAGTGAATTTTTTTTTTTTTTATGCCATAATAATGCACTTAGCAATGATAATTTTATCAAATATATATTTTAACAATTTTTTTTTTAACTAAACACTTTAGCATTTGTTTTAAATAGTGCACATATAAAAATAATTAAAAGTTGAATTATGTGAACCAATACATTGTACTATGATTTAAATCCGCCAAGTTCGAGAAATTGTTTTGCGGTTTTCAAGTTTTTTTTAATGTCAACCATATTTTCTAAGGCTTTAAAATTTGAACGGACAGAATTTAGCCAAATTTCGATTCGGCTTATTTGTGAAATGTTTAGAATTTTTTTACTCTAATATATAATAATTTGAAATATATAATTTAATGTTGACATTTTAAAAGAATACAATGTTTCCTACTTCATCACATAAGTGATTTAAATTGGTTCATTCGAATTTTCTTTATCATCGCGCTGTTAAGTATGAAGTTATTTTTATTGCTATCTTATTTCGTATGTATGAATCGCAAGTTTTCCATAAAATCTTTATATACAACATACGGAACAATACAGTATAATAATAATGATTAATATTAATAATCAAGAAAAGTTAACCGTCCTAATCACGTGATGATCAGTAACGGGAGATACTAGGTTGGCTCTTTTATAAAGGTGATCCAAATAATTTTATTAAACAACAAGAGCGAAATCAAATCAAGAAAGAATTATGCGGAGAAAACGGGATTACAGTCAGTCAGTACGATCAATACAATACATCAAGGGTGTTCCCAAGCGCCTTAATCAATGGGGCATAAAGCGTCGGGAAATAAAAAGAATGAAATGAATGTGTCATTTAAATCAACAAACTTTTACAACAGACCTCCTTTTTTTTATACCTGTCTTGAAAATTTTACAATCAATTGAGTTTTCAAAAAGACCACACAAAAGTAACATTGCCATGGATCATCATGTTCAGCGACGAATTATTATTTTACTTCTCGCACTAAACATTTTTATGAATGATAAAAAAATCAGGAGGCTCAAAAAACAATATGTTTTGTTGTTTAATACTTCAGAAGAGGTAGAATCCGTATCCGAAGCTGAATCATCATTAGAAACTGTTTCTAAATTATTTGACGCCTTTGACAAAAAAATAAAAATAAAAATAAAAATAAATATTATTAAATTATTATATTTCTAAATAAATATGCGAATAACACATCTTTGGATTCAACAGCAACTTTATGGATTCATAAAAAATGGAGGCGGGATATTGTTGTTAGAATAACATATTATAATGCTTCGTCAGAATATTTTCGATGATTCACAGCATTTGCTTCTTATTTAACGGTTGGTTTTGTTTTTTTTTTTATTTTCGTGTTTTTTATTTTTCATTTTTGACGAATAATAAAAGGACCGTTCAAATATTGATTGCAATGTTTATTTCAATTAATTCTATTAAATGAGCACCATTACGATCACTAATTAATCATATCGAAGATGATTCTTGAGAAATTTCAATTACATCGTAAATTACATATTCGAATTCTCATAAAAATTTTATATAAATATAATTTTGCTTGAGTGCCATTGCGATCACTTGCTAATCACATCGGAATGACGCTTGAGAGCACCCCAAATCCAATGTTTTCATTCGCAATAAGTAATTCTCCTTTAGCTTGACATTCTTCAGATTTTAATTCTTTGATTAGTTTTTTTGTTTCTATAAAGACGCATCCTTCCGTACTTGGACCAATATATTACGAAGACTCATATGTAGTTATTCCAGAGTATTTTCGAGAATTGGGTCCTATTTGAGTAAACCTAAAATTTTAAAGCTTATACTTTATTTCCATTTTTATTATTTTCCATTTATGAGTAAAATGTGTGATGCATCAGAAGATTTGGATTCGAGTAGATGACGATACCTGACTGTATTTCTTCCTCGTTTAGTTCTCAGTCAGGAATAATAATATAATCAGAGACTTTGCGATGCTCACCGACTCTCATTGTGGAAGGCCAAATGAAATCTGTGCCAGCTAAGACTAAAAAAAGATATATTAATAAAAATGCAATCAAGCTGAATCAAACTTATTAAGTACCGTAAAATTTCTTCCTCTCATTTTTGTTTTCTGTAAATTCTTTGATTCATAGTCTTTCTGCAAACTTTTCGTAGTCGCCTTTGACAACTTCATTATTCATTATCGGTTTCGAAGTTAGTTCTGTATAAACTGGTGCATCTATTTTTACTGAAGCTGTGTTCTTTTGTTTCTCATCCTTGAGGCCAATGAGTCCTTCAAATTACAAACTTTATTCGAAATCAGAATAATTTTAAGAATATATTTCAGAAAGTGCGGTATCCAAATCATGAGAAGCTTAATGATCTATCAGAAAAAATAAATCGAATTGTGACGTTTAGCTGAAATGGATGATATAATGTCGGAAATTTCGATTTATTCCTCAGACTTATACAAGAAATTAGAACATAATAAAAAATGAAAGTGCGAACCAGAAAAGATATTACTAATTCAGGTGGGTTGGTCAACATTTCAACACCTATAACACCATACGAACAAAGGTAAGATGAGTTTTATCTCAATACATTCCAGCATTTTATTCGCAAGATCCTTCTATGTGGCTTGACAGATCCGTGACCCGCACTTCAGAAAATCCGCCTTGGCTAGGTTCACAATAATAGGCATAATTTATATTTAAAAACTGTATAATTTGTATTTTACTGCAAGCATAATTTAGCCGAAGTCTTATCATAATTCTGAAACTCTAGTGTTCAGAAATTTTATAATCTATTACGATACGTATATGTTATTGTCCACGAAGTGGGCAATAACCAAGAATTAGATGATCGGATAATGACAGAGTGGCGAAGCAGCCAGTGTGCTATTCAGTCATTATCCGATCATTTGATTTGAGATCGATATTTGGCTATGCCCATTTCGCGGATAATAACTGATTTATTCCCAGGTTCTATTATACTTCTACACTATTTTTTCAAGTAAAATTACGTATTTCATAAAGTCTAGCTTCTTGCACAGGTCTTATGTGACAACCCGTGCCTTTTTCATTTACTTATTGGCACGGGATTGTTACGTCAGACACCGTGTAATAATTGTATGGGTATATTGAATACACACGGGTTCATATTTAAATCCCGTGCCGAAGACACGGGATATGAACCCGTGTGTAACTGGGTTATACTAATAATTAGGGCTCTGCAAGTGGGCACGCCGGGCACATTGGCACCAGGTCAGGCACTAGTGCGCCCATGCCTAAGGCACAAAAGTGCCAAGGCATTAATGTGGTCATGGGCACAAATGCCAGGCATTTTATGGGCATGGGCACAAAAGTGGCAGGTACTATTATGGCACAGCACAATATGCTAGGCAAAAAGGTGCCAAAAAGGTGCCAGACACAAGTGCCAGGCAAAGCGTCAGGCACAATTAATTAATAAATATTAAATTTTTGTACCCATTCCCATGCCCATGCCAAGTTTTTGTGCCCGTGCCTATGCCTATGCCAAATTTTTGTGCCCATGTCCATGCCCATGCCTGAGTCTTCGTGCCTATGCCCATGCCCATGCCCATGCCCGAAATTTTGTTGGGTACGGGCACGAGCCCAGTTTGCAGACCCCTACTAATAATGCTTGTTAGTAGAGATAATTAATTCTTAGTATCATGTTAAAGTGCGAAATAAAATAAGTGTTTTCTTTAAAAAATTTATTATTTTTTTGATATGAGTCCAAAAAGAATTACATTGAATAGAGCGCTTGAATTTAAAGACGATTTCTATAGATAGGCTAACAAACTTTTGTGTAGATTTTGTCAATAATTATTTTTTTATTTCAAATATCTGATATATTACTCTGATACGCTTTTATAATTTTAAAAACATTAAATTGCATTTTTTAATAATCAGCAAATCGCATATTTTACACCGCACGCATAATTTATCGCATAAATTCCGTATCACTGGTACTAAATAGGTCAGTTGGTTGGCTTTATAATATTATTAAATTTATTTGACAAAAGTCAAAATAAGGTTTATTTTTCGCTAGTAACAAGTTCCTAAAGTTTGTCTAACAATTAGTATAAGATATAAAGTATTTTTCAAATTTTTTTAAATTTTTTTTCAAGAGCAAAATTTTCAATTTTTATATTTCTTGCAGTAAATTCCTTTAACGTTAATACGTATTTGGTTACATGATCTGCACATACAGTCAAACTTCTCTATAGTCACACCCTTAGGATACAAAAAGCGTGATTATAGAGAAGGTGCTAACTATTGAGGTTAAATTTGTTATATTTATATTTAATAAAAAAATGTGCTTATATAGGAGGTGACTACAGAGAGGTTTGGCAACTAAAAAAATAAAATTTCTTTATAAATATTTAAATCAAGAATCATTGGAATCCTTCACATTATCGATAATAGCCCATCCAATCACTGGAGACACAACAGATTCATTACCCAAATCTTCAATAATTTCCTGGTTAGTTCCAATAAATCCAGCTACAAATTTCAAGGAAAATCCAACATCAGTAGCAAATGGAACTTCCACTATGCTATCCGGAATATCATCAAGGTCTAAAGAATCTGAATGTAAAGCTTTTCCACTACGATCATAAGGAAAGAAAGCCGAGATCCATCCTGTAATTTTTTCTTGTCCTCCAGAGCCATACTCTTCTTTACTAATAACTTTACTCCAAAACTCTTCATCAATATTACCACGATAAGTATCTACTAATTTCCAAATCACAGGTTCAAGGCGATCCAACCAAAAATCTAATTCTAAATTTAAGCTTCTTAATTTAATAACTTTTTCTTGAAGCTTTGTCCAATCTTCGAGTGTACCTTCAAGGGTAATTTTTGGAATTCCACAAAGGAGCATGATTCCATAGTCAAAGTAGGCTTTAACCATATCTAATAACACGATACGACTTGCAGTCAAAGAGCTTGAAGTTGTCGTTGAAAAATTACATTCCAATAGTTGTGCGAGATCAATTTTTTCCACACGTTTATCAGTTTCTTTAACAAGTCTATCTACGGCTTCTGGCCAATTACCTTCAAGAGTTTTTTCTTGTGTATTTATGTATAATATATCACCAGCAAAAATAGTAACTTCTTCTTTTCCTTCATGTTGAACAAAAATTTTACGAAATTTCTCAGCATTATAATTAATATGACGACTAACACCTTGAGAAATTGTAAGCCAAATGTCATCAGGGCTCAACCGTAAATGTTGATGATGATTATAGGCATGAAATATTGCAGCAGCAAAGCCATTAGAACAGTAAGGGTATTTAAGAACTGACTGTTTAGAATTTGCAGAGTTATCATGGTAAACGGAGACGGTATGTACTTTCTGCTCCAAGATTTTAGTAATTCTATCTTTGACCGAAATGTGGGGTTTTATTTCATTTTCAAGTTTTATTTTTTGGGTTAAAATTTGTGTGCTAGAAGCGTTGGTTGCTGCCTGCATTATCGATGAATTGAATGAGGAAGTTTAAAAAAAATTATTGATACGCCCTACGAATTTATATTTATATATAACTTATGTAAGCTCAAAACAGTGTCGTAATAATGATTTAATTTATGACTTTTTTCCTAACTAAGTTAGTATCGTGATCGTTAACTGTATGAAGCGGCGTGCATACTAACTAGAGATGCATAGAAACTATTACTACCTATGTCATAATAGTTCTACTGCATCTCTAATAATGACACGAGGCTAACACGATAGCGTAATGCTTCTAATGCAATATTGAGGTATTGAGTTAGGCCATATAAAATTAATTTTGTTTCTCATGACATAAAATTTTAAAAATGACTCGGAAACCCTTTATTTTAAAAATCACTTTAGAAAAACGACCGGTTAGTAAATTTATTCTTAAAGCTTTGTAATAGTTTTCAATTTTATATTCATAACTTGATGGAAGTATTCGTTGGAGTGGAATAGGTAAATTCGACAATTTGTTGAAGTCCTAAATATGTTTTTATTTATTATTAAGTGCAGCCAACTAAAGTAAAATTTTGAATTATACCTGTAATGGATTTTGAGAAATAGGTACGTTGAATAATTTTGAGTCCTAAATTTTATATTTATTATATGAATATTAAATTTTTTACGTTTATAACTATTTATTTGTTCTTGTTTAATACAAACTTGTAACGAATTTTGCATTTTTACAATTGCGATAAGAAATATTTTCGTTATTTACATTATTTTAAGGGAGCGTCTATTTACACCATAGAAATTTACTATTTCCACCATGTTTTTCACATGACTTTAGCTATATATACATGACGAACATTGTTACAATAAATTATGACATTGGTGGAAATAGTAAATTTCCATGGTGGAAATAGGCGTTCCCTATTTTAATTAAATATTTAATTAAATAATTGCATATTTATAATATGTATACATATCAACATAAAATGTAATGATCATAAAAATTGAACCTCTGAAGTATCAAGCCACCATGGTGCACCAACCTGGTACACATTTTCTGTTTGCCTAATAATTTGTATATGATAAAATTACTATTTATTTATTATTAAAAAATTAATTTATAAAAATTGCTACTACTTTTTATTCACTAAATATTTTTTAATTCTGTAAAATAAATAAGATTCTTAAAGTATATTTTCATAATAATATAACATTAAAATTTACATAAATGAGTCATTTATCGATTTAATATCATCCTTATCAAAAAATACTAATAGCGAGTTATGTAATATTATCTGTTTACTAATAAACTTTATAAGATATGTAAAAATATGCATTATTTTATTAAAGTTTATCTTCTTAAAAATATATGAATATAAATTTTATAAAGCAAATGATTGTAAAACAAAAGTTTTAGCAATTTTAATTTGATCTAGTACTTTCTTATAGATTTAATTAAACATATTAACTGTTAAGCAGATTTACAAATTTAGCCAATCAGACGATCATATAACATATGAATAAAAATTTGATTCATTAATGCAATTTACTAAGCCATTTGGTCTATGTTTGTAATTAAATATATTTATAACACCCTAATGCTATACCAAATTTTGATTATATTTGTATAGGCCATTTTTAAAATTCTTATTGAACTAAGCTAATATGGTGCGAGACATCTAGTCACATCAAAGTGCTGAAGTTTGAAATATATATATATATATATATAGTAGTGCTGAAATTTTAATAATTAGTGCTGAATTTTAAAATATAGTATTGAATTTTAAAATTCAGTGCTGAATTTTTTAAAATTTATATAATGTTTAATAGAGCTGAAATGCAAAAATATTGCTCTTGACCTACCTGATCCATTTTTCTTGACCCACTCTAAAAAAAAAAAAATTTTTATTGTTCTTGACCCATATGATAAGATATAATGACATTTTAATACGATATTATTTTTTCATAATATGATTGGTTATAATGTTATAGATCAATGTCATATCAATTTAGTCTGTAATAAATTAATCGATATAGTTTGTAATAAATTAAAAGTTTATTACAAATTAGATAAGAGTAGTGACGAAAATGATGTAATAACAAGTTATATAAAAGCAAATAATAAAAATAAGCCTTCTTCTTTGAAATAGACTGTATAAAGCATTATTACTATATAAAATTCTAACCCAACACATATTTGAGCTATAAACTAACTTATCATATAAGTATTTATAGAGTATTATATCTTTAAACAATTAAACTTAATTTCGACACAATGAATTTGCTTCTTTTCAAATTGACAATAATAGTGATATTCACTTGTCATTTAAAAGATCAGTTGAACAATATCTATATTCACTTTCTATATTACAAAATATCTGCTATAAAGTTCAAAGCTAAAAATAAGTAAATGATGCAATAAAAAGAGGACTTGTAACTATTGAACATGTTGAAAGTTCTTCTAATTATCTTGGTTAGGAGACTAAAGAAGGCATTCACAAATTAACAAACTGCTTTGATGATATTTTATAGTTTACAAAAAATGGAAAGCACCAGGTTTAACAAATAAATGATAAAAAGGAAAATAATATTCAAGTTTGAAGATGGGTTTGGTTTTGTGCTAGTGAAGGTTATTGTCAAAGGGTGTGTAAAGAAATTGGCAAATATATTGAAACATGTAGTCATTATTTAAATCAGCATAACTTTAAGAACTATTTTGATATACACAAATGCAATATACAAATTATTACTGAAGTAATGCTATCTGAGGTTGAAACAAGATTTTTAATATGTATGATTGTTGAAAGTAGTCATGTTCCTCAAAATGTAATTCAAGAACAAACTATTCTATTACGAATTAATTTAAGTCAAAAAGTATGAGACCTTGTAATTACAAGTCATCGAGCAAATAAACATATAACAAAAGAAACTTCTTGCCTCACATAATAGAGTTTTGTTAAATAGGCTTAAATCTTATATAGTAATCAACATTTAATATGTAATAATATTAAGCTTTGTCAATTAATTGAATGAGATAGTTTGCATGTACAAAAAAAAGTAGGTTCATGATTGTTTATAAATTAGTAACTACTATTTTAAAACAAAAAGTGCTGTATTATATTATCAATAGCCTGATATGGATACATCTGAAGATGATCTGAATTATTACTATCAACTTACTTTGAGTAATGATTTATGGCTTCAGCAAGCACATGACTTTGGCTCTTTTTGCTTTGGTATTGATGACAAATACAACTTAAATTGTGATAAGGCATCTGTTTTAACTTTAGAACTCCGATTGTATTTGGAATATCAAACAAGAAAAATAATTATACTATAAGGCTTGCTGTAGAGGCAGTTCAATGAAATATTCTATGCAATAGTATTGATTATACATATAAACATCAATATATAGAATTAGCAAACAATAAAAGATTTATGAGAATTTGACAATATGCATAATTATGGCAACTATTTGCAATAATTGACAAGCATAGACCAATGAAAGAGAACTACAACCTATTCTTTATGATGTAATTCTATGCTGGTTTCACATAATACAGATACTTAGTAAGCATCTTAAGAATTTATGAATTGATAATCATTACTGGTTTTCAATTGCTATTGCTTTTAAAATTGTGGGCTGAAGTAGAAGTACAGAATAAGCTATGATACTTATTAATTTTTATTAAATCTATGCCATTAACAGAAATAACAAAAGAATTTTTATATAATAATATGTTTTTAAATTGGCTATCTGATGAATGGATAAATTGTTTTATTAATAGTAGATGGATATTATCTTCAAATAATATATTAGGTGTCAAACCTATAACCACTAATAATCTTACAGAATAAATAAATAAATCAATTGAAGGTCAGTGTAAGGGTACTCAGCCAATTAATTGTTTTGTTGAAAGGTTATATGAAATTATTTTAACACGAGATAATATTGTTAAAGAAACTTCTTCCCAATTTGTATTTGAGGCAGGTTAGGTAATATATTGGAATTCTCAAATTATAGAGCATAGTACACTACTATTTAAACAACTAATAAATATAAAATGATGATTAAATCAAGAATGACTTTATGTTTTACTTCACTCAGTTAAACCTGCATCTGAAGGTAATATTTATTTTTATATTAAAAAAGGAAACAGTATGTTTAGATCACTATATACAATGAGAAGAATTGGAATTGACAGTAAATCATATAAACTACTATGTTTAATGCTTGACAAACTTGTATCTAAGCACCCTATATCATAACAAGAAAATTATTATTTGTTAATATTTCTACTAGAGAGTGCACATGTATTGATTTTGTTTGGAATAGCTCTTTTCATAATATATGCAAGCATGTTTATATAGCTCATTTATTTAATAATATTGAGGATAATAAAATTACATACGACATTATCAAGTATGACTTTGTATTATATTTTCATAACAAAGAGTATACAATGCCACAAAACAAAAAAATTTTATAATTTATAGTGGTTCTGTCGATACTTTATTTGATGAGATTCTTCAGATTTATTCAGTGCAGAGAAATGATATTTTTTCCATATAGGCATGAATTAACTGAACAAGATCCATTTTGTTTTCTTGAAATGTCTATTCAAAGAATATCAAGTATTGGTGCTCCTAAAATACATGCCGCAAAACCACAGAAATCATATAGCCTCATGCATATAATTGATAAAAAAGTAAAGCAATTTATTTATTTACTTATTTATTTCATATTATATATTTCAGATTTATTTATTCTTAAATTTTAGAATTTAAATACTGATAAAATGGAATTATCAACAGCTGAGCCAGAAGCTTCAGTAATTAATACAATAAAACAAACAAATTCAGTGGTCCTATTAATTTGAAGGAGAACAACATCTGCAATTCATAATCGCAAACAAAATATTTTAAAAAAAGTAAGCCTATAATATTAATTATATTATATATTCAATAATTATACAGTGTATTAATTAAAAATTTTTGACAGCTTGCTCAAAATAATATTAATATAG